TATATATATATATATATATATCAGCGTCAGTGTAAATTACTTGTACCTGATGATGACAAAACCTTGTTGAAACGTTGTACATTTGCTGTTATGTTAAACTTATATTAAAGTTTTTCTTCATTACCCATTCAAGCCGTCTCCAGCCATTATAAGCACAACTTGTTCATTTCAAAATGGTAATTAGTTAAAATTTAATTGTAGTGATAATTAAAGAATATTGGTCTGGTAATTGGCCTTTCAAAGACAGTAATATTAAGATCAACTTTAGTTTGACATTGATTTTACTAAATAAAAGGATATATAGATAATTCAAGGTTCTGAAATTACTTAATAATTTTGTATTAACATGAACAACTGTGTTTAGTACCATAATTGATTTACTTACAAACTTTGTGTTTCTAAATGCAGTTCATATCTAACAATTTTGTATTGGTATAAACAACTGCGTCTAGTAGTGTAGTTGATTTTCTTACATGACAGATTTGTGTTTTTAAATGCTGTTCATAAGAATAATTGTATTAGCATGAACAACTACGTTTAGAAGTGTAGTTGAATTTTAAGATACAAGCTGTGTTTCTAAACACAGTTAATATCTTATAATTTTGTATAAATATGAACAGTGGTGTTTAGTAACATAGTTGATTTTTAAAATATTGATTTCCACAAGTTATAGCTTCTTGTATTGAAGATTATCAGATTTAATTTTGTATTGTAATTAATTTTAATATGTAACAGGTAATAAACTATGTTATTAATCAATGTGAAATTGAAGTTTTTAATAAAATAGTTATGTGTCAAAACAGTGACATTCTCGTTATTTCTACTTAGCTTTTATCAAAAGGTAATATGTATTTCGGCATTCATTATTTTAAAATTATTTAAAAAAGGAAGCAAATTTTGATAGAGTTTTTAGTTCTTTCTTTTTTTACAGTGGAATGTTTTTTGGTTAATTTAATTGTTAAATCATTAAGCTTAGTTTCTTGTTTTCTACCAGACAGTTAGTTCAATTGTAGGCTTTTCTGCCATATCTCCATACATTTATTTAGGGTCTCACACATGGTGGTCCCCAGCAGAGACTGTTCCTACCACCTCAGGGCTACTTTGTGGTAATGTAACACCCAACCTTCCATCTAGGTACAGCAGCTCACCATGTGGAAGCTTTAGGCTAGAAAATGTTGGCACTGTAATGCTGGATACTACCTCTTCTTCTGATCATGTGCCACAACCTCGTAGAAGTGAGTGTTGGCTATTTGTCGGCACTTGTTTATAGACCTTATTAAGCCTTTCTTTATTTCTTAATGCTGATAATAGCTTTAGTGAATAGTAAACCAAATATGCATACAGCAAGTTGTCAAGTAATGAATAAGCAATGTTCTTTAGAATATAATGCAAATGCATACATTTTATTTCAGCTATGTGGTAATGCCATTAAGTCTTTTACATACTGTAGGATAAAAATAAACTGATAAATTTAGTTAAAGTATGGAGAAATTATCTGATAGTTTTTCTTCAAAAGGATAGTTGGAAAAAAATCATTCTTATATAAGATGCCAAATGAAATATTGTAAGTATTGTAGTGTGATAGCTTTAGATAATACTTGATACAGTTTTTGTAAAGTTTGTCTATTTAGGATCTTAATTTGTATGCAGTAAAAGAGTTAGTTATGTGGCAAATATGCAGAAAAAAAAATTATGCATTGATTATGCAATATCTACCTAAACTAAAAACAGCTTAAAACAATAGTTTTTAAAAGAATGTTAGACATAATTAATGTAATTTTGCCATCAACAGGGATTTTATTTTTATATGTTTTTATGAAATAACAATAAACACATGTTTTAGACTTAAGATGTCTTTCAACAGGCCATTAATCAGACTGTCTGGCCAGCAGGTATTGCTTGCCAAAGTAATAAATAACAAACTAAGCCATAATTAAGTAAGAAGTTATAAATCTCGTACTACTTCCCTAGATGTAACTAAGTTTAGAAATTCAGACTGCAGTTATGCAGTGGGTACACATTCAACCATTAATTATGAAATCATATGTATATTATGCAAGATGTGTCATGACCACATAATTGTGTTACACTTGGGGCCCTGCCTGTTGTAAAGGGTAAATAGGCAATCAATCATCAGTTCTTTAATAAACACCTGTATTGATATCAGTAAAAAAATTACCTATTAAACTTGAGGAGTATTGTGTTTATGTAGTTAGCCTTTAATTAAAAGTACATGTTGGACTAGGTTTTTACAGATAGTTTCTGAAATTGATACACATTCTTGACTTTTTTTTACTTTTATAGAGTACAACATAAAGTTCTTTTATGATTAGATTCTAATATTTTTATCTAATTTATATATTGCATCATATTATGTGTTGAAATTATAATAATGCTAGAACTACTTCCTTTAACAATTTGTAAAATTGGTTGTATGTTAGAAAGCCATTTTAAGACTATATTTGTACTAATATTTCAAAGTAAGCTTCATTTTTGTCAAAATGTGCATATTAGCTTGCATTAGTTTGTTTATATCCAGATCCTCATAACATTTTGCTGTGTTTTTCAGTTACCTGTATTTTTTTCCTTGGTCGAAAATACATAGAATAATTCAGTTAATTTTTGTAAGTGAAAAAAATAGAAATCAAGAAAATATTTTTCTTGCAAGGGTTAAATTATCTGATTTGGTACTTTTAGAAAATGGTAACATAGGTTAGTCAGTGAAGTAATTTATAAATGATCTGTCTACATTTGATTTGTTTCAAAGACAACACTTCATGGTGTGGCATTCAGCTTTACTGATATTCACCAGATAGTTAAGTGAAGAATATTTCTAATACAGACATATAAATATAAACCAAACAAGCAAACACAGGTGAATGTATTAAACAAATCTTTATTCACAACAATATCTGTTTTTGTCACTAAGCTAGTCAGTTTTTTAGTTTCTGTTGACTTAATCTGACTGCTGGGTTGAAAAGGGTTAAAAACCAAGAGTCTCAGGAAACAAGAGACACAATTTTGGAAATATCTCACTTTGATAGACAAAAATTTAGTACAGTATTCCATAAGTCCTCTGGTTGCATACTTCAACCAACAGTTTACAAACAATTATAACTCAGCACATACAGGTTTCTGTATTACCTCTTTATATAGGCTATGCACCTAGAAGTCCATACACAAACACATACATATAAGCTTGAGACATAAGAGTAAAGGTTGCAGTATGTGACTTTTACGTGTGTAAAAGAATTAGCATATTTATGATTTTGTGACGTCCAATTAACATGAATGTGATGAAATTGCATGGAAATTTAGAGATATTACATGAGTATGCTTGAATAAATATATCTTCTGTATTACCTTATTGGCCTGATTATAAGGCAATGTTTTTTGATTAATAATTAGGCTGTAAAATTCTTATAATCATAGCCGACCACAGGCCCCTTCCCCCTACTCTAGACTGTTGCAGATAGCATTTGTCTACGCATGTGCACCAGATGTATGCTTAAGGTCAATGCTTATTCTTGCAACTAATCCACCTACAGTCTGTTCAGTTACAGTATTAATTTTGTGGACCTAATAAAGGACGTTATGACACTCAATTTTTTTCTTCCCATGGTTTCTGAAAATGGGGGTTGCCTTATATTTTAGAACACCCTATAATTGGACCAATATGATACTTATAGAAAGATAAAATCAATAGTTATTTCAGCTACAACAAAGGTGCTTTAGAGTTAATCTTTTATAATCTCCTTAATAGTATTGTAAATTGCATATTTTGAAGTATATATGTAATAATATTGGATATAAAATGTTTAAATGAACCATATTATATTTAAAATTCTTTTAGGAATTTTGAAGAACTAAGAAGTGTTTTCAGACTAGATAAAATGGAATAAATAAATCTTAAGTCTTGAGCAAATACTAAAACTGTACAAGTTTATTCATTGAAGATAATTGTGAAATTTGCTTTTCAAAATAATATATATATATAAATAATTTCGTATTAGTAAGATAGTATTTTTATAATTATGTTATGAGTAAAAATATTCAAAACGTGGCAGAATCAGTAATTGTGCTACCATTAAGTAACAGTTTTCATCATTGAATTAATTCCAAAAGGCACACAAAATTATTTTTGAAGGGTTTTATTAGTAAGTGTATGTTTTAACTTGTAGCTAAAATGTCTGAAATCTAGGAGTAAGTTGTTTGTATTGTGAGATTTCAGAATTTGCTTTAATGTTTCAAAACTGTGAGTTCTTGGGAACATATTGGCAGAAACTTTGCCCTGTAAAAATATCTTCACGTAGTTTGAGCAAAATGTCCATGAAGTCAGCTGCAATTTTTCCCATTTGGCATTGTAAGTGTATAAGGGTCTGCTCTTTTACAAAGCTAGTTGTAATAATAAAATAGACTCTCTTTCTTCATTGCTGTATTTGATGTTTATGGTTAGTAATGGCTACGTATTTCTTGACACCACCCATATTCATTAACAGATGTTACCCCAAATTATGTTAGCACTCCCACCAATACAAGACACCAATAAATAACTTCTGATTTTGATTGACATTTTTAAATTGATTTATTATTATTATTTTCTTAGAAATTAGCAGCATATATTAAAACCAGAATATGACACTTCCTATAGTTTATATAAATTTAATGTAAACTATTATGCAGATGTGCTTCACAGTTGTCTTTGCTAGAAAACTAGATCATTTTATATATTATTTATATAAAAAACTGTGGTGCAATGAGCACCATTTCCATACTTTGTGTGTAGTAAAGTTTCACAAACAAATGTGTGTTTTTCCTTAGAGGCAATATATATATACATACACACAAACACATATTTGTTACTAACATCCAAAGAACATTACTATTATTTGTTTATATCATATTTGGTCAATCAGAGTTGATTGAAGTTTTAACATATTTGGTTAAGAATTTTTTAGAAGTTAATGAAGTTCCACCTTTTTTAATATATATAATCTGGAAGTTTTAAAAATTATTTTTAAGAATAGTTTTTATTTTATTGGAACTTTATTTTCTGAATATTAAGTCACATTAAATCCACACCTTTTGAAATAATTGTGAATATTTTAAAATGGAGCAAAGTGCTCAAGATCACATGGAAGATGTAAATAAAGAATATTATGTATGAAGTTTAAATTGTGCTTAAATTCTAAGGTACTTAGAGTTGACTCAAGCTATCTGCAACTAGGAACTTAACAGAATAGGAAGTCCCTGAACATTATAGTAGATGTTTTTGCAAGAGATCATTAAAAAAATATATTTTTCTTACAAATTTCATTTATTAGTTAAATAATTATCATTTTCAGTTTTTCCATTAATATCTAATTATTGATGCAGAATAAGTTGTGAAAACTCCCATGGTTGAGATTCATTTGAGATGAAAGATACTAAAGGATGTGGTTGTTGGAATAAACTAAATAAACATGCTTTAGATTTATAAGCAGTTATTTAAAGAATCATCACAAAAGTACTACATGTATGTAGCATAAATGCATTTCATCCTTAGCATATATTGCATTAGCTTTATTGTGTAAGTCCTAAAAGTAATATACAGTCACAGTCTGTAATGATCTGTTGTACAATTCCAGTGGTATGAACATTTTAAATCCTGAAAGCAGTACGCTTTTAAAGTTGGCAATGATTTACCATACTATTCCATGGTATGAATATTCTAAATTCTGAAAGTAGTGCACAGTGTATTTGTAATAATTTGTTGAACTATTCCATGGTATGAACATTTTAAATACTGTTTTATTTTCTGTCCTGACAGCTGATGTACACAGTAGCAAGATAAATAAAATAAACACAATAGAATGAAAAGTTATGCATGTTTTTCATAAAACTATTATGTAAATTTCCCTTGCCTATGCTTCTCAATCTTAGCAGACATAAAAGAACTTTGAAAGAATGAGTAATAAATAGATTTAAAAAAAACTCTTGGGTAGAGATAAAATGAGGTTTAATCTGTCTTTATTACTAACCTGGTCTTTCAGTTGTAGAGGAAATGTTAGGACATCTTTATGCAAAACCTCCATCAGCCGAGGTTTACCATGAACCTGGGGTCGCAGGTAATTTTTTTCCTTTTTCACAGCACAGTTTTCAATGTTGTGAGCCTGCATGGTACATGTAGTATTTAATAAAGGAAACTTCCTTCACCTTGTATTATGCATATCTTATGTATTTAGTCAAATGAACTTTTTTTTTTCATTTTAGTAGAAAAAAAAAAAAACAGAAACAAAATCTTTTATATGTTGCATGTAAAGCAGAATAGTTTAGAAGGTTTGCATTTTGAAGTTCACATTTACTTTACATTTTTTTTTCTTAAGTAATTGCATAACATGTGGGGTATAGTATTTTTAGTTTAAAATACAGAAACTTGTAGTAAATTAATTACAGTTATCCATTGAATAGTAAAAGTTGCTTTATTGCTTAGTAGCCACAATAGATTAAAAGTATTGTCTTAATTGTAGTGAATGGTAGTCCTCATTATCTAACATTACAAAAAGAAATTACTAGAATATATCATTCTAAAATATAATCTATCTCTTTATTATAAATGTTTTTGTTGTTTTGTATTGAATAACTGAGATATGGGAAAAAAGGGGGGGAAATGCTGATGGGCTTTATATTTTTATTAACCGTAACTATCATCATCATAAGTTAAAGGGCCAAACAAATGCTGTTTTGTAAGTGGAATGAATTTAATGCTTGTAATCTTATAAAATGTAATTTAACATTAACAAATTAAAACTGATGTGATTTAGTTTAGTTGTTTGTGCTTGTGTTATAAAGTATAAGTTGTAATCATTGTTAGTGTACGTATGTTTGGTGAAATTTAAGAATAATATTTTAGGAAAATTTTTATATGTTTCCAAACTTTCTCTGTACAGTGCTACCTGTTGTAATTTTTCTTCCCCGCAAGCATACTTTGTAAATTATTTTATACTCCTATATCACCTGGGTAGTATGATTCTACTTCCATGTATACATTTATACCCAAAATTATTGTGTCAACTTTATATATTGTTAATGATGTGTTGGATATGGTTGTATCTAATCCATTGTTCATACAAGTCAGACTGATACCGTAATTTGAGTTTTAATTAGAAGAGAGAATTCATACAGTAATTAATAACCTTTCTTAAATTTATACAGCATTACAACTGTTTGAGATATAGGTAATTCTCACATTTTTGTTTTAATTATAAAAAATATAATAATTATTTCATTGGTTTTAATAAAAAAAAACATCAGTTGTAAAAGCTTACAAAAGTAAGCAGCATATTTATTTACACCAGTGTTATACAAGAATTATTATTACTAGTGAATTAGTTAATAAGATGATATTCTAAAGTCATATGAGTAGTTTATCAATGCTTTTTTAAAACTTTCCAGTATGTTTCAAGCTTTTAATTGCAAGTTTTATTAATTAATTTTCATTGTTTCTTCTTCATAGAGTAACTTGAAGTTAAAAATCCACTTTTATTAATAGGAAGATATTTTTTGTCATTGTCTCATGTTTATTTATAGTTCCAAAGCATATTAAGAGTGTATATGCTATCTGTAAAATGTTGTTTCATAATAGTTACTGAAATTCAGCAGCATTAGTTGGAGGGGATTGTTTCAGATCACTCTTAATTTTATGTATATTTGAATTATAAGAAATGAATATAGCATTAGTGGATTATTATAAAATGTTTTACTGTAACAAAGTTTCGTTAAATGAGTTTAAAAGACTATAAATCAATTTTGCATATCATTATGATAGCTTTTTTCAGTTATAATCATATGAAACTTTTTCAGACCAAAAACCGCAATTGTATTTACAATCCTCTATCTTACTCTCTACTTCACGAACATGTACCATAGATGGACTTTGATTCCTCTTTTTTTATCTAGGTTTTGAGTGATCATTCATTGAACTTATAGAGGAGTTACAGTTATGATAAATGGTTATTTATTGTAAAAAATATTTTGAAAATTATATCTTTAATACTATTAATACCAGTCTCTCTGTAGTGTTTTTTTTTTAACATAAAAAAATGTTTCTTTGGTGCAAATCACAAAAATATGATTCCTTTTTCTATGGAAAGTCCTCTTTTTAGCTGCAGCATAGTGGCTCATAGAATGGCTCTGAGTTTTTTTCAAGTACAAACTTTTAACTCACAGCTCCATCAATTCTTGACTGATTTGAGATTTAATTTCAGTTTTGACTAAGGAGGTCAAACCTTTTCGATTAATGTATTTGACAACACCCAAGGACTTGTAGATTAATTTGCTCTAATCCTGCATAAAATAATTTCAATTTGAGGGTAGGCAGGTATACACATTGCCCCACGCTTGGTATTGCTGGTGCACAAAAATTTAGCTAATTAAAAAGGAGAAAAAGGTCTCATAGATTAATTTGCTCTAATCCTATCTAAAATAATTTCAAGTGCTGAGGCTATGGAGGATTTTCTCATGTTTTTACTAAGAAATGAAAATCTTATTCTCAAAAATGCATAAGTAAGCATGATTTATATTTGTAAATATTATTTCAGTACATGAAATATATGTGTTTGAAAGAAGTCTTAAGTGGAAGAATATGATTAATTTTGGAAGTTTCCATGGGTTTCATTACTTTTATTGAGTTTTTTAGGAGATAACATTTTGTTCTTGTTATGAACTTTTCAGTGCATCAAGAAGAAAAAATATGACCTGTCAATTCACCATCAAAAAAAATCAAACTAGTGGATATATTGAACTTTTCAAGATGATCAGTGTTTTGTTAATTCATATAACACAGTAAATAAACATAATCGGTATTTTGGGTAGAAAGAGTTTCCATGCTTTTGTTTTTTATTTTTCTACGTTTTGTATAAAAGAGTGGCTTCAAACTTTTTTCACTGACAACACCCTAACCTGCTTACCTTGATTTTTGTGACACACCTGATGCCACCTAATATTTATTTTGTAGAGTTTTTTTTTTCGTTCTCAATTATTCTTTGTTTGGTGAAACTCACAATACCTCCAGCAATTTGCCAGCCATGACACATGGTTTGGAAACTACTGGTATAAAAAGTTAATTGCTAATTTGTAAGTTTCCTTGTTTTATCTAACAGAATTGTTATTTTAGGTTTCCATCTTATGGCATACATATTAAACATTGCAAATGAAAATTTCAAAAAAAATATATTTATGTTTTACAAAAGTCTTGGGACTATGAATTTGCAGGCTGTTTTTAATCTTGATAAATTTCCTCCAGATCAGAAGAGGTTTGCAGTATTTGTGTCAGAATATTAAAAATTCATAATAGTAATATCAGATTGGCTTATATACTGGTAATGCTGAGAACATAACTGATTCTTTAAATCGTAAACAGGGCAGAAAAGACTATAGAGGACTTGGTGGTGGGGGATTCCGGTCTTAAAATTTTTAATTGACTAAACTGTGACTTGTATGTTTTAAATGTAATTTTAGTATGCTTTAAAAAGTAAATGGAAAAGTGTGTTTGTTTCAGTTTTATTGTCTTAAAACGTTCTTTAATTTTCCCATTAATTGATTTTTTTAGGCATGTATCAAAGCCTTTAGATACAAGTATTTTTGTTGATCTTATTCTTGATTTTTATTTCAAAGATATTCATATGCAAGTCTTTCTGTTAACATTATCAAATTTTTGTTTTAATTACAGGTGTTAATGGTTCAACTACTGCCAAGTATTCCTCCAAGATTCGGGTAAATGCTTCCAGTGAACATGAAACTTCAGGGAATAAAAGGTGTGTGTATGTAGCAAATTTTTATTCAATTTTCATAATTTGTACTTTTGCATCATGATAAGGAACATATTATTTTGGGAAAAGGTATTTTCATGTATTTTGGCAAATTAGTTAAAAGTATTTATTCAAAAATAACTGAAATGATTTATCTAACTTAACATGATAGCATATATTGTGCTCATCAAATTCAATTTAAGTTAATTGATTAATGACTAATTTTCTACTTGTCTACAGCATATTAAAGCATTTACAATCTGTTTGAATTGTGTTTCATTTTGAGCATAGTATTGCATCACTAATCATATTCTTCATTATCACTTGATTTGTGGAATTGGGTTAAACATTGAGTAATATTTTAATTTATACTGTAGCTAGTCATCAAGAAAGTGAAAAAAATTTTGGAGTTGTAAGAATTTCATTCCCAGTAGAAGAGAACTGCAAGATTGAATACAGAAAATGATTGAATGGTTGCTTGAATTGTAATGTGTGAGAAAATTAAGAAATAAAAGAAAAGTAACAGCTTAAAACATAGTCCTTTGATAATAACCAATTTTGTAATATAACCCCATCAAAACATTTTGCTTTTATTGTTGGGCATAACCTAGTCGTTAGCATATTAAAAGTTTGAATCTGAGGAGTTATGATTCATCACCCATTGCTACAAAAATATGCTCCACACTTTTGGGCCTTGGTTCCCGTGTAAGAGTAAAGTCAAACTCCACTAATGAGTAAGACAAGATTATCCCAAGAGTTAGTGGTGGGTGCTGTTAATTAGTTGCCTTCATACTAGTCTATTGGTTAAAACAAAGAAAAGCTGTGCACAGCTTCATGTAACTTTGCATGAAATTCTGAAACAAACAGTTTCTTTTACTATCATTAAAAGGGATTCATAGTTATATATATTAATTTTACTTCAGTACCAAGAAACTTTAACTTCATAAATTGCCTCATTATAAGCATTTGTAGATAGTCTCTAAACACAGGGGTATGGAATTCATTTCCCCCTGAAGCCCAATTTTACTGTTATACCTTTCCCATTGAACAAGTAGTTTTTCACATTGTTTATTCTGTTGCTAAAAAACACTCCAGATAGATTTTTATGGAGCCAAATAAGTTACTGAAAATTCTGAACTGCAAAAGTCAAGCATATACACACAAACATAAACATTTAAATTGTTTACCTCTAAACCTAAAACCAAAATGATATTCACAAATTTACATATCCCTTTAATTAACATACTCAGCAGTGACACACACACAGTAAAAAATGTATTTAAATTATTGCAACAGCATTATTAAATTGATTTTGTGTACAATAGAAGTCCATTGACTTTGACTGCCAGCTCTAGGGAGAATATATAGCATAGTAAAAAATTATAAATGCTTTAAACTGAGTAATATGTACATGAGGTATTCAGTATGCTGCACTGTAAAATCCTAATGACTAAATGTTAAAATGCATAAAATACAGGAATAAATATCTAACAGCTTTGATGGAAAATGCTATGTATGCCATTTCCAATAAAGTTGAGCAGCCAATTAAATAAAATAAAAATTCTAAAGGTAAAATTTAACTTTTTTGTGTGTATTTTTTGGAATGAGGATTGGACAAGTAGATTTTTAACAAAGATGAGTATATTTTTCTAGCATTTTGTCCCTTGGACAAGAAGTTTTTATCCAAAATTTAACTCCCATGATTTGATACAATCATAACATAGGGTTAGGCATCTTTTTGATGTGTTTTAGGACTAAAATGATGCTTCACTGACAAGTCGGTCATTCTAAAATGTTTTAGACAGTCTTTGGAAAACTTTTAAAACATAGCCCGATTTAGTTAGTGTCAGGTTTTATGTATGTGGGCAGGATTCTTTACAGTAGGTGTCTGTGACTTGTTGCTGACAAATTTTAACAATAGACAAACAGCAAACAGTCCACTTGTTTCAAAACAATATATTAAAACAAGTCAAATATATATATATATATATATAAATTTTTATTAAACTGTTGATTACCATAGTTGTATCCAGAGCTTTAAAATAATTGTCTCCTTTCATCATAAGTTCACACAGGTTTGTTCAATTACTTTAGAACACAAATGACAAGACAAATTACTCTTCTCTACTCTGTTATTGCACAATCTGGGATAATTTCATTTAAAAAAATGCCACTAAACAATCTTTATGGCTAAACTCACAAACACGGTCTAGATCTATATAACTATATCTCTCACTAACTTTATCCTAACTTGAATTAAATTTTGGACACATATTTATAGCCTGACAGAGGCCTCAAATGTTCTACACATTATGAGATACTAAGATGCAATAGGACTCAGTTGACACAACAAGAAAAACTTAGAAGTTTCTAGTAACATGTGCCAGTTCACAACAATTGAACTACACATTAAGTTACTGTTGAATAAAGTTTTATTACACAACAAATTATTATTCCTTCACAGTTACGTACACAAACCTGCGATAAACTGTCTCTTTTAAAAATAACTAAATTTAACACATACTACATTTAAACTATATAGTTCATAATACTCACATTAAACTTAAACAGTCATGTATATCTAACAGTTAAGCAGTTTCAAAAACTGTATTTAGAAAAATTTCTCGGAAGTTATGTTAACAGCCTTTTGTAATTTTATTTTATTTGTTATACATTTAAAATGAGATAAAATAAACTGCTGAAATATGCTTGTAGTTCAATTGCAGTTAGTGTTTTTATTGTAGTATTGTGAAATTTACTGTTGTTAAGTCATAGTTTTCATTGATAAGTAGATATATTAATGATTATATATTAATTATAATTAATGATTATATATTAATGTGAGAAGACTAAGAGGTGTGAAATAAAACAATTCAAAATCATTAAGGAAGTGTACTGTGAGGTTTGGATGTGGCCTGTGGTTAAGGAATGTATTGGACTTGGCACTTGTGATTTTATTGCATTTATTCTGAATTAATCAATAAAGATTGTATGACAGTGATAAATAGGAATTTCTCAAATTCATTTTGTTATCAGACACATAAATGTACACCTTGAGGCTACAACTTTGGTGATGAATAGTGATAAGCAGCCAGCACTGCTCGTTGATTTCAGGTGCATTAACGTTGACGATGTGCAGCGATTATACATGGGATGTGGGTTCATTTTAATTGCTTTTGTTTTGTACTATAATATGGCATCTTGTGATATGATACCTTACCTCTTCTCACATAATAGTTTTCATTGATTTGTGCTGCCCTCTATATGCACAATTTTTGCTAGCCACTAGCCTTTTTGTTCCCACCTACCCTCATGTGTTATAGTTGCATTGTAGCATGCAAATGAGCATGTGATAACCTTCCACCATTAGGAGTGTGACACACCCTGACTCCATTTATACTGTAGAACATTCTCATCATTTCTCAATTTGGCATACATGAGTACATTTGTGCTGAACTTTTGCTCAATACTTCACATTTTTGTGTTCATTTGAGCCTTTTGCTACCTTTACATTTGTTGTCATTTACATTTTAAACATTTTCTTGGGGAAAGTTTTCTTTTCCACACAATGAACTCTCAGTTTCTTGTAATGAATATGACTTCTGGGTGGATCCTATCACAACTAATCAAGCCACACTTAATTCTACTATGGTTTTGAGCTCTTCACTTCTGACAGAGGACGTCTTGGCCTTGGTGCATCACAAATTAGAGTCTTATGTGCAATCTGCAATGTCTCCTGACTTGCAGTCAGATCTACCATTTCTTGGACAATCTGTTCTTGAGGATGAAGACTTGGTCAGCCATTTTCCATCTCTTGCTTTTGTCCCCTGCTCAGTTGTCTCATTTTCGTCTTATCCTCACAACTATCCTCTGTTATCTGTCATCTACTTACCTCCTTTCTGAAGCTATCTACAGTTCTCCTGAGAGGTTTTTGGCAAATACTTGAGCCCTTCTTTTCTCTGTGTTGGAGCATTTATCTTCTTCTGCTTTGTCCTTTTATATGTGGCAGCATGTTGTTGGGATCTCCTTGGCGGAGATGCCCTTTTGTCACATGTGCATCTCCATGCTACTTATCTGCATGACTTTTGCCTGACTCCTTTCTTGTGCCAGTCTGTTTTTGAGGATGTCCCTGATAGTCTCTCTAGTGGAGGCTGTATATCAACATTCCACCATCTCCTCCTTGTTTTTCATCTTTCTCAATCCTCTCTTGTTCCTATTCCTGTGTCTCGTTGTCCAACTTCTCACCTCTACTGGTTCCACCTTCCTGTGTCAGATCATCCATTGTCGTCTTTTCAGATGCTAGTATCTTCAGTGACTACCTCTTGGGTTCTGGTACTGTAGAGGTGCAGTTGGCCAGGTTTGCTCATCTGTGGTGTCCTTTTGCTGCAGATTCTTGGGTTCTTCAGGTGCTCACAGAAGGACTGTTTCTTCATTTTTCCACTCCTCCTCCATTACCTTAAGTTCTCATTTCTTTCCCTCCTCCTCCTCAGGATCCACTTTCTTGCCAAGGTCTCTTCAAGGCAGTTGAGATTTCATGAGGAAAGATGCTGTAAATCAAGTGTTTCACCTTTCTTTGGGATTTTATTCCTGTCTGTTTGTTGTCCTCAAGAAAACAGGAGATTGGCATCTGGTTATCGATCTTTGAAACCTCAACCACTTCATTGACACCCACTTTTCATCATGGAGTCTTTTCTCACCCTCATATGGTCATTAACTCCAGGTCTTTGAATGATTAAGTTTTACATTTAGGATGCTTACCTTCATATTCCTATTTCTCCTGCATCCAGTCATTACCTTCGGTTTGTTCATGGGGGCTAGATGTTTTAGTTCTGCACTCTCCATTTCAGTCTCACATCAGTTCCGTACATCCTCTGTCACATAGTCAGAGCCCTTGCCCATCATATTCACGACCTGGGACTGCAATTTCACCACTATATGGATGACTTACTCCCATTTCCTCTTTCAGGAGGCAGATAATTACGAGTGGCTTATCAAACTAGAGAATTCCCATCTCACTCCCACTCAGTAGGTTATTCATCTGGGGGTGTTTTTCAACACCTATCTCAGCAGGGCTTAGCTTTCTCCTCTATGTTTGAGGAATATGGAATGCTTGGTTTCCAAAGCCAAGACATTTCCTTCTGTTCCTGCATGTGAGGTTCTTTCTCTCATTTGAGGATCTGAGCTTACATAGATTTCCTCACCCCTTGGGGTCATGAACATGTGTTGCATGATCAATGGAACCTTGTTCCTGATCCCTTGGGCTCCTCCATTTTTCTTTTTTGCACCCTCCAAATTGACTATGCCTGGTGGCTCAACAGAGACAACACCTCAGCTGGCATTCCTCTTACTCCTCCCTATTCTGATCTTCATCTCTTTACAGATGCTTCTATTATGGGATGGGGCATATTTGGATTCTTAGGAAATAGTTGCTCAGAGGTCGAATCTACCCAACACATCAACCTGTTTTGGAGCTTCTGGCTGTTAATCAGGCATTGGATCCATTTCCTGTCTGTAGTACATAGGCACCTGCTTATGATTCATTCTAACAATTTAACAGTTGTCCCTTATGTCAGTCATCAAGGTGGTACCTGGTCTCGTGTGCTTGGATTTTGGACACTGGATCTCCTTTTCTGGGCCCAATCTCATAACCTCCATCTTCTTGCTTGTCATATCCCAGTTGTTCTGAATCTTGTGGCAGATCTGCTTTCTCGTCCCAATAACATTCTACCATCAGGATGGTCTTTTGCTCCTCGGGTATTTCAGTGGTTAAGCTCCCAGCTAGGTATCCCCCTACTGGATGCCTTTGCCACCCAGCTCAATACCAAACTTTTCCCTTTTCTGGTCTCAGTTCAGCATGCTTAGGATATGAATGTGTTCAGTCATGATTGGTCCAATCATTACCTGTATGATCATCCTCCCATCTGTTTTCTTCCCTACATTCTCTCTCTTATTCAAATCATTCTGTATCGAGTCCTTCTCACTGTTTCGTTCTGGGCTTCACAACTGTGGATTCCACTCTTGAACCTCTATCAATCAACTCCTCCCATACCTCTTCCTCTTTCCGAATCTCTTCTCCAGCAACCTTATTCCTCCATCTTTCATCCTGCCATAGCTACAATCTGTCTTCATGCATAGGGTTTGTCTAGTTCCTTGCAAGGCATTTTGGACTCTCTATGTGAGTAGCATTCTGTTAATTCTTCTTCCTTTCTTGTTGGCCCGGCATGGCCAGGTGATTAGGTGTGACGGTGATGACTAGCTGCCCTCCCTCTAGTCTTACACTGCTAAATTAGGGATGGCTAGTGCAGATAACCCTCGTGTAGCTTTGCACAAAAATTCAAAACAAACAAACAAATCCTTTCTTGTTTACCAGTGTAAATGGAGCATTTTCCATCCCTGTTCTTTGCATCACAGCTTTCACCTTGCCAACCAACTATTCCCCATCTGTCTGATTTTTTACTTGGCTCTTCAACAGTGGTTTATCTGTTTCTATCATTGCTGGATAATAGGTGGTGGTATGTAGTACTTTTCATTTTTACAGTTTTCACCACATATTTTTTCTCTCCTGTCATTTATGTCCAGTTTCATTCTTTTTGCCTGCTTTATCCTTCCCATCCAGTTGCCCTATCAGATTGGAACCTCAGTTTTTTTTCTTTATGCTCTTGCCCTTCCCCCTTTTGAGCCTTTGGCCTCTTGCTCTTCATACCATTCTCCTTCCAGACTTATTTTTTACTCCTCTTTGCTTGTGGATGTCGTAGGTCAGATATCTTTGCTATTGATGTTTCCCACATTCATTATCATCATTTGTATGTCTTTAATTATCCTGATTCATAGTTTTTTCCACAAAACATTATCAGTGGTGCAAGAAGGGGATAGCACATTCACATCTAGTTCCCTTTTGTCTATTTCTAATCTATATTCCCATTCTGATCCCTATAATTTTCTTTTTCCAATGTGGGCTCTTTGTTCTTATGTAGCCTGCATGGCTTCTTTTTACAGATCCTGTTCTTGCCTTTTTATCCACTTTAAATCTACACCATACAGCCATTCAGGTCTGAAGTGATGGGGTGTTCCACAAGACCACTAGAGGTTGTTTTGTAATATCTTGCTTCATAACTAAGGCCCGTGAACCAACTCGTGAACTATCATGAGTAAAGTAATGTCAGGATCGCTGCCTATTCCTCCAGTTCTAGTTAAACCAGGACTGCCTGCCTTAGGGTTTTCATGGTCACCCATTGTACTGTCTTACACTACTGCATTCCTCCAGACTCTCCATCATATTGTTATCCCCTCCTCTCCCAGTGGATTACAGGAGTCTTTGCCACTTACCAGTTTCTAGTCACTGGGGTGATGGACCATGCAGACTTTCTCTTGAGTGTGACTACTTCCACTGAGTTGAGAGTATGGTAGTGATGTTCTCTTGGTGTAGATGGTGAGTACCCTGTCTCCTACCCAATGCTGTCCAGTTTTGGAGTGGATGAATCCACCACATGCAGTTCACCCTTCCAACTGGATTTTCCCTCTTCCTACCACTGCCTGGATGTCAGTTCCTGGGTGGTCTGGTATTGAATCAGCACAGGATCAGCCAACAAAAGTCCTCACACATGTAGTTGATAGGGGCCCTCCTCTTACTGTGGAATGGATGAAAAATTCCAGATGCCACCTGGTTTTGGACTGGAGTTGACCCACCACATTTGCCTTCCCCTTCCTAATGTTACCCAAATGTTGGGTTCCCAGGTGGCTTGGTGTTGGCTGTGTACTTGGTCTGCACACATGCCCTGGCTTGGTTGTTGGAATGGAAGTTGTTTTTCCCTTTTGCTTCCTGGTCTTGAGGTGAAGACAGTTGGGACCATCCTCCTACCACAGACTGGAAGACAAATACCCAACGCTGCCTGGTTTTGGACTTGATTTGACCCACCAAATATGGTCTGATGCACCCTAGCCACTCTACACCATCTGGCATGTCCAATTACAAGTTGGACATGCATATTTTCTATTTGATTTAGTAACACATATCTTGACATTGGGCAAAATGTATACCTTTTCCAGATGTGCAATATCTCATGAGTGTGACCCTGTACATTAGGGTATCAAACTACATGGGTTCTCTTCAGTTACCTTCCGAAGAGTGCTCATCTATGTAACTTTTGCCCAGATCCCTCCACTGTTTTAATATGGGATTCTAGCTATTATCGAGGTATCATAATGGAAGTTAACATTTTCTGAACTGAAAATGTATTTCCAGAAGATACCTCATCTCACACTTCCCACTCATGCTCCCCACTTCTGGTGTATCAATTTTACTTACACTTGAAGTGATGAGAGTTCTCTACAGTATAGAGGGTATTAGCTGTGCTAGGAGGGTGTGTTGCACTCCTATTAATGGAGGGTTGTTGCATGCTACAGTGCAACTATACCACGTGTAAACACGTGAGGATAGGTGAGAACATCAAAGCTAATGGTGAGTAAAAGTATCTATCAGAAATACGTTTTCAGTGTAGGAAAATGTTAACCTTAAGAAGTATGTAATCTTGCACATTCTGTCACATCATTTTCTCAACTTCTTGAAAAATTTCTCTATTCAAAGAACAGCTAACAGTTGCAAGAAACTTTTTCCAGTTCAAGGATAGACTTTTAATTATCTTCTATATTTATGTTTAATGTTGTTGATATTTTTAGTCTTTTGAAAGTTCCACATTACTGTTGACATGTATTTATTTATCTATGTTCTCCACAAGTTCTTTGAGCTAAGTTTGAGTATGAATAACTTTCTATTTCAGTGAAAAGTGTAAAGAAAATGGTGACATATCAAGTTCATCAGCAAATCTATCAAATAAACATGCAAGAGAAGCAACTTTACCTGTTTCAGAAGGAAGAAAAAAGCATGTTTCTCTGAAGCAGAACAAAGCAGATTTCCGAGTAGTTTCCACTCTCTCCAAATCATCTGTGGAGACAGAAGATAAAACTGATAACCCTGGTTCACCAAAAGTAGCAGAAACCTGGAAGGCATCAACTAATGGCATTCAAAAACTTGTTATTACCAAAACTCAAGGGAAATATAGGAAAAAGCAGGTTAGTCTTTCAGCATATATAGCTTGTTTGTTTAATGCAAAATTTCCTTTTTTTATGTATAAAAAAAATTTCAGATTTTAATAAATGTAATTTTTTTGCTAAAAAAAATGTGTTTCCTTTTATCTTAATCACATTTAAGGCTTACAATGTCATTCTGGTGAATGATAAAATATTTCTATAAATCTTCTATATACTTATGATATTCCTGTGATGCTTGGAAGACCCAATAATTGTGACTCAAGGGCCCAACAAGTAACAAGACTTTTTAATTAACCTTGTAAAAAAATGAAATAAAATTGTACGTCAACTCTTAAACTTTAATTAAATAAATACTTTAAAGTAAAACAATATTTGTATTTTTGATATGTAATATCTGGTTATTTATTGTAATATTTTAACACATTATTTATTGTGTGTGTGTGATATTATTTTTAAGCCACTGTCAGTAACAAGTGCATGAATTAAATGAATAAAAGGCACCTTAAATAATCACAAACAGTTTATGTAAAGAGCACACACTAAAGAAACTGATGATATGTGGCATCAGCAGGGGAAATTTATTTCTGCACAAGTATTAGTTAGGGTCACTTGATAACAGAAGGATCAGTCAGAAAAATTGTAAGGTAAATCTTAGTTTAGCTAAGAAAATATACAGACTGGACACGTGATGTGAAGTGAAATGCATTATTTATATCACAAAATAAAGAAACACAGTCTAAGTATTTGCATGGGCACTGAACAGCTGCCTTCCACAGGATCTGTAAATTGATCAACAGTTTTCCTCGTGTGATGACTAAGTAGAATTGTTTGAATCCAGTTTTCTTTAAAAAAAAGCAGGAAATATTGGATTTACTCATAATGACTTCTGCTGGCTATGGTTAAGTCAGGTCTAGCCCGTGTTTAAGGGGAAAACACTTAATAGTCCCTACATAAATACTTGTTGACCTTATATGTGCTCTCTTTTTTTATTTGATTTAGAGAAAAAGCTTACTTCTTGACATGGTATCATAAGGAGTTCCTAAACTCAACCAATAAAAAAGCTTCTATTTTACGTATCATACAGCTTGAACATACTTAGCAGTCTAATCTTTTGGTGTTCCTGTACATGTAATGACCATATTTTTCCACTTAAATATAATAATAAGTTGGATGAAAAAAAAAATTTATTTCAATGTTTATTTAAACAATGATTGTTACCCTACCAAACTTTTTTTCACCAATATGTTCTAACTTTACAAAATCCATATAAGTTATTTCACTCAACCACTTTGCTATTATAAAGTAATAAAAGGTAATAAAAATAGGAAAAAATTCCTTTTAGTTATTGCTATATTGTTGGTTTTTTGTCTTTTTTAAATATAGTATATGTTGGTAGAAATATCAACCATCACTTTGTTAAATAAATTTTTCCTTGTGAAAAGTTTGTTATTCTAGTTTTTGATCATGTTTTATGTTTATAAATGAAAAGTCTTTGTTTTGGAGTAAACTTATGAAAAGGTTTAGTTGTTAGAACCATTGCAATGGTTAAGAAAAAAGAACATAATGTAATTTAAGTTGTGATTTTATTTTTGCAGTATCCATGTATCATTTATCAAGAATGCTTTCTTAGAAAGTTTGAAGTTTTGCTGTTAAGCTAATTATCTGTAATTGCAATACGTATGAAACAGTTGATTTCACAGATGTATCACTAAGCAGATCTTAAATTGCCTTGGTTTAATATTGTACTAAACAGCATAGTAAGAATGAGAAAGAAACATGGCAATTAGTGATTTTGTTTATGTATAAGTAATTTAGATAGTTGGTTAACTGATCAGTTTAATTTACTTTTGTTGGGCATTAGTATGATTGAAATTTTATACTGAAACAGAAAAGTCAATATGAACTTGTTGCATTTAATCCTGGATGTTGCTGGAAAATAAAACATCATTTAATTGTCTGTGAATTGGTGTATAGAGAAATAATTTCAAAAAATATATTTTACCATTGCAAGAGTAACATTTATGTGAATTTAAAAATTTGTAAATTTAATATTTTATGGTACTGTAGTGTCATGGTAAAAATAATTTCTTGTAGTTCAGCAGAAAATTATGACATGCAAAATCATGATATTGATACTGGTCTTATTGAAAATATTTTAGATTAATGTAATTTAACAGTATTAAGACATTTGAAAGTATTACATTCTAAAAAATTTTAATAATTTCAGTGCACAAACCAGTTTGTTTGTATACAAGTAACTCGTAAGTCGCTTAAACCAAACCTTTCAACTCTATTTGTTGATCCCAAACACACAAGATGTTATCTTCATTATGATAGTTATATTCTCAATCTTCTTACATCTTTCTCAAGTAGTGCTTAGTGTAAAAAAGATCATAATTACAAACAAATTGGAAATACTAATTTTAAAGTCAGTTATAGGTGTTATATTTTAAATGTTATGGGAGAAATGGAAATTCTTGTTAATTTTTAGTGTAGTTTTATATTCTAGTGAAAATTTAAATCTTAAAAAAAAGTTTTGTCTTTCTTCGCCCTAAAGCTGGAAGGAGTTCCACCACATGAAACCAGTTCAGATAATGAGAGTCAGTCAGAAGATGACAGTTGTAATGGCTCAAGCAACAGCTCAAGTGATGAAAGTAGAAGCAGTGGGGCAAGCAGTGACTCTAGTGATGCCACAACTCATCACATTCAAAATGAGTCAAAAAAAGAAATGCATAAACATCATAGATCAAAACTTAGGCTAAGAAAACATACAAAAGAAGCTGAGACACCACACATAGAACTGCCAGATGAGGTATGTTTTGTTTCCATATATATTTTGGTGACGATTTACGTAATCAGAGATTATGAGAGATGTGAGAAGTTTTTGTTTTGAAAATTAAAAATCCTCTTTGGTAGTTAGTTGATTATGAGATGTATTTCAGTTAAGCAACAGTCTGTGGATAACACCTTTAAAGCTTACTTTAATAATGTTTCTATGTGGCTATGAAATTAACACTAGTTTCTTTGTTCTTGTTTTGTTTGGTTTATTGTTCCTTCAGTTTCTTTCATTGTAAAGGCAGGTTACTTGAACTTTTATCTTTTATATTAAGACTTGATTCTCTGCACTGAAGACCTTTTGGAGAGTTTTGTTGTCAAGTTTGGTTTCAATCAGCCATGTAATTTCCAAATATGTTTACAATCCTTTAGTGAAATATTTAAATCATTAGATGGAAATAAGTGGAAAAGTAAATAGTTCTTTGATTATTTTGCTTAAAATATGTATTTAGTTTTCATATCAAAACTATATTTTTGATTTAGATACTTGAAAATTTATTGTGAAATTATTATTTTTAATTATTGCACACTAATCTTTAAAATAATGTTTACACTAAAAAGTGATGAACAGTTGCAATGTACGTAATCTAAGATCCCTTTGATAATACTTTTGTAAAGTATCATTATTTAAAGTATCCCAAAACTATAAATGTAAAACTGTAAGAAAATCTTAGAACTGGTTTGATAAATTTATGTTTATAAATGTTCTGTGCTCACATATTGCTCATGTAACATCTATGCACAAATGTATTAATAAAATTTAATATTTAAAATAGTTAAGCTAAATTACATATGTTTGCAAATATGCATATTGTTTTGAGGCATGAAGTAAAAAACGAAGACTTATTACTAAAACACAGAGTCAGTAATAACATTAATAATGACCAACTATTGGTTTTTTTTTACTTGATCATTAAATCCTTAAAATAGTAAATTTTACTAACAATTGAAGTTAGTTTTAACTTTCAATTTTGAATGATACTTTGTATCATGTAACACATATTCTTTATATGAGCCTTGTTAGTTTATGCTTTTTTGTTGTAATAATCATGTTAAAACAACTAAAAAACTTTTTGTGTTTATTGTGAAATGATGTAATTAATAATTTCTCTCTGAACAAGATACTACCTCATGTGTGAATAATTGTCTGTACACTTGTAAGTCTATATTTTGTATAAAACAGTAAAATCTCTATTCTGGGAATCAATCTCAACTTCTTTTAGTAAGTGCGCTGGGCATGTCCCAGTAGTGCTAAACTGTGAATCTAAAAGTTCACAGTTTGAGTCATGTTGGCAAAGAATTGCACCTCACACTTTGAGGCTGTGGATATGTTATAAAAGTGATGGTCAAATCCCACTATTCAGTTAGAGTAACTCAAGTGTTGGTGGTGAGTGCTGTTGACTATATGGCTTCCCGCTAGTTTATCAATTTAAAATTATGAACATCTAGCACAAAGAGCCTTTGTGTAGCTTTGTACAAATATCTAAAATAAACTTGTAGGAAGTTTAAATAACTATAATATATTACCTAAAACAATCTTTTTTTTTCTAATTTGAGGTATACTTTATACATCTTATGGTGTGATTATCAGAATCAGATGTTTGTTTAAGTTTTGAAGCTGTTCTAGTTTAGTTAAAGGTGCATTGGTCTCATTTTTATTTATTTCCACTATAGGATGACATTCCAGAACCCTTAAATTTAAAAGCTAGAGCCAGTTCACCAAGTCCAGCTCACTCTGGCATTGCCAACACAACAATGTGTCTAACGTCAGATGCAAGTCAAGAGCAAGACAGTGACTTTATGCCAGCTCCCCTAGATCTATGCATCAAAAAGTACGAAACAAGTGGGATTGCTAACTTGAAAGAACAAAGTTTAACTACAAGTAAACCTCCTATTTCATTGCCCTCTGCTGCTCACCCCTTGGTCTGTTCCACAGTAAAAAAACATCCCTCTCCTACTGGGTTTTTGCTGATGCCAGGTTCACGAAGGCGAGGGAGGAAGCCCAAGTATTTGGTTGCTCAAGAGAGTCAGCAGAAGCAGGTTTGTGTACTTAATATAAACTATGCAGAGATTGTATGATAAAGAAAGATTTGTGTAAAAATCAAATTATTCTAATAAAACAAAAAAAAGTTAGGATCACAGTGAGACAGTTGAAATAAATACAAATAATTTAAATCAATGTATATTCAGGGCTTAACGATTGTCTGATCAGACAGGGTAAGCTCCTTGATCTAAACTTTGTTCTTATTAGCAATATGTTGAAGAAATAAATCACAGAGTGTAATTTACAAAAAGCTCTAATAAACTCTAATGTGCTGATATCTGTCCTTGTTAACACCATGACACATATACTTTGTTAACGACTAGGTTTTGTACCAGAGTAGAAATATACATTTTCATATTTTTAAAAAAAAGAGACATAAATCAAAATTGTTGGAAACAAGTAGAATTCTGAAGAGAAGTTGAAGTGAGATTTCTTGCAAAGAAATGCATTGTTAATTTGATAAGCTTACATGGAAAGGTGTAAGAGTCGAACTATATATATTAGTGTTTTATTGTTACTAACTAAGCTTCAACAATGTATACTTATAAAGAGAAGTGTTTAAGTACTTTCTGATATGATATCTTACCTCCACTTACAAAGTTAGTTTTTCTCGATTAGTACTGCCTTCTATTAGCACAAATTTTCAATGCTTGCCACTAGCCATCCACCTCTCACTTCTGCATATCCACATGATGCAAATGATTATGCAGCAGCTCTTCACACTAATAGGAGCACGACACATTCCTTATCATAACCAGTGCTCTTTCCACATTTCCACTCATTATCACTTCTCAATTGGCAGTAGTACTGTACAGATGTGCTTGTTTTTGCTCGTAAATCTCTCAACATTTTCTTTTGTACTACAGACTTAGTTTTTCTTTACTATGTTTTTGTTATGTTTTATTTACAGGGGCCTTTTTTGCTAGTGTATTCAAGTGGTTCCTAACCAGGTATATTTTTTTTTGAAAATCCACACTGTCCATCCTGTGACCATGCTTGATGTCATTTACGTTGTAACTCTTCCTAGCATGGACCTTATGTACAATTCCAGATGCTGCCAGGTGTTGGTTTTGTGTGTCTCCATTCAATTGTCAACCATGCCAAAACAGTCATGTCACAGGATTAGGTCACTCACACCTTAGAGATGGGGTGTTCCGTAGGACTGCAAGTAGTTCTCTTTAGTTGTTTTTTTGCTTCATAAATATGTTTGTCCCAGGCTGTACACACATGAGTACCTTTCTTCTAGTGCAGTATGAGAGTCCATGCCACTTACCAGTTCCTAGTTGCTGGGATGGTAGACCATGGAGGCCTTTCCTGCTGAGTTGAGAGTAGGGTGGTGGCAATCTGCAGTTGTCGATGGTGTATAGCACTTCCTACTGCGGACCTGATGTACATTGCCAGATACTGCCAGGTTGTGGTTGTAGCACTGTGCCGTATTAATGTATATATATATATATACTTCTAACAGATTGATTTTTCCCACAGTAGCATTCCTCCTTCCTACCATCTTCTGTATATATATTCCTGGTAGGCCTGGTGTTGGTTGATCCTCACACATGTTCTGGCTGGTATCCCTCCTCCTACTGCAGACTGGATGAAAAAATGCCCAATGCTGCCACATTTTGGACTGGAGATGCACCCCATGTTTGCTGTCCCTCTTCCTACCGTCTATTGAATTTCGGTTCCTAATGGATTTTGTGTTGGTTGTAGCTGGATGCAGCACATGTATTCCCACTTGTGTACAGCTGGGTATCTTCCTTCTTCCTACCATCTGCTGGATGTCGGTTCATGAAGGATCAGGTGTTGAATGGGTTGGAAATGCATGCAAATGGAGATGCATTTTGGGATGGAAGCTCGTATTCCCTACCAATTTCCATTTTATGATGAAGAGGTAAGTGATGCTCTGTCTACCTTGTGCAGTTCCAGATTCTGCCAGGTGTTGGATGTGGTCAAACTACCACTACAGTCTGTTGTGCCCTAGCCACTCGACACCCAGGGGTACCATTACTCGGTAATATCTATTATGGGATTCCTTTATGTTTTCTGCCTTTTATGTTTGCGACACAGTCATATAAAAGTAAAGAAGGTACCTAGATCAGATGTGGTGCGGTCTCCTCTGAGATGTGATATTTTCTTTTTTGGTTTTCCATCTTATGGTCTCTCTTTGGGTGCTTCTTAAAGGTGGATCATATTTTCACTGGCCCTCCACCAGTTCAGTATGGGATTCTAGCTGTCTTGTGAGTGGAGGTAAGATATCATATCAGAAGTTAACATTTTCCTCAACTGAAAATGTATTTTCAATAGTTACTTACCTCCTCTCACATTTCCCACTCAGCCTCCCCACTTCCAGTGATATGTGGTGTAAGTATTCTGACCCAATTTATAGTTATTAATGAGTGCAAATGTGTAGAGGGGGTTGTGTCGTACTCCTCTTGGTGGAGAGCTGCTGCATAATCATTTATATGTCAATATACAGAAGCAGGAAATTGAAGGCTAGTGGCAAGCATTGAAAATTTGTGCTGATAGAGGGTAGTACTAATCGAGAAAAGCTATTTTGTGAGGGGAAGTAAGTATCTATTGGAAATACATTTTCAGTTTAGGTAAATGTTAACTTTTGTACATAACAAATTCATTAAATTACCTATGTACTGTTGAAAATCTGGTGTTTTATTAATATATTAGTAAACAAACAGCAGAATACTAAGTCATGGAAGTCCAACTGTTTTTCCAATAATAATCTTTGGCTACTGAAAATGAGTTTTGGGCAATTGAAATTTACCACCTATTTATCCAAATGGACAAGTGAGTCATGTTGATTTTGAGTCTTAATATTAATTTCTTTTCTTTATTTATAAGTTGTTTTCCTGATATGATATCTTACTTCTTCTCACATAACAGCTTTTCTTGTTCAGTGCTGGCCTCTATGCACATAAAATAAATTTCTCACCATTAACCTTGAAACTCCCATCTATCCTACACTTCTACATGGTTGAGATGCACTGTAGCATGCAAATAAGCATGTGACAACCCTCCACCAATAGGAGTGCAACACACTCTCCTGTTGCAATTAGCTCCCTTTATACTGTAAAACTCATTCGTCATTTCTCAATTTGGCACAGTAGTGTTAAGACGTTCATTTTTGCTCATGCTTTTGCCTTAATTTACATTCATTGTTTTTTGTGCTGTTTATTAGACAACTTAGTTGTTTTTCATTTGATTTAGACAGTGATATTCTCACTGTAGTTTATTAATTTAAAAATTAATTCCAGTTGCACTTGAATTCTGGATCTTATTTCACTACCACATATTTAGTAATGATGAACATTAAAGCATTTTAGCCTGCTGCGTCTCAGACTACGTTCCTTACACTTTTGGTTGTGGTGGGCAAGGTTTTTCGATAGGAGTTGAACCCGACTGTTTCTTCCAAGCCCAGATCTGACATTTCTTTGTTTGGTGAATCTGGACAAGATTAAGATGACTTGGATATGTTTTTTCCCTACCTCCCTCTTTGGCCATGCAATCTAAATTTTCTGCTTGTGGATAACCCCTGGCCATCATTAACCTTCTTGGATATTTGGACACAAGTATTGTACCTTTTATTGGTATCCTTCCCCAGTATACCTAGTTTTCCTTTCTTCTCCAGACATTGGGGTCGATTTTGACCAAATTTTCTGGCACAATTGCATTGGGGGGGGGGCACATTGTGCCTCAAACCCCTTGGGATTAGAATAGCTTTTTTTTTCCATGTTTAGACACCCCAAATTAGTGTCATGTATACTGGAACAGGGTTTGACACAAATACTTCTGTGAAGTTTTCCCAAGCCCACCTTTCCGACTACAGTTGGATACTTGCCATACTCTTCACTTACCATTCTTCCAATCAGAATTTGGGAGGACAATGGTTATCAGATGTTTTTGTTTTTTTGTTGAAGTTCTTTCCAGGTTTTTTGCCCTCCTCATCCTCTACTTCTTCCAGTTGGAAACGTAAAGTTATTATCTGTGCCTTTACACAAACCCAGTTTGAACCTGTTCCCTAGGTCATTTATCACTTACAACCTTTCCCTTTTTCCCTGTGACCCTCAGAGGTAAGGTGTTTTGCCATTGATTTATCACTGGACCCTGGTTCTAGTGTATCCGGATCCCTCTTTTCTCCCTAAGATGTTAGTGGCTTGTGCAGACAACATCTACTTTACATCAATTTCCCTACCTTCCATTTCCCATTTTTCTTCCTGTTTGGATAGTCTTCTATGTGTTATGCGTGATCTCAAATGTTATAATGCTCGCACGGCTTCCTTCTGTGGTTCCCATTCCTGTTTATTTATCCACTGGAAACCTTCCTTTCTAATTGGTTTCACTACCCACCCTCACAGGCTGGATTATCTAACTTATCAGGTTGACATATTCAACCTTTTCTCTCGACTCCCTACAATTTGTTGTTACAGGTGACATCTTACCTTTCCCTGGCTGCTCATCTCTGTTGTCATTTGGGAGAAATCCTCCAGGCTTGTAAGTGGACCACTTCCAACATGTTCATCTGCTGTTAACCCTGTCTTGTGGCCGTTTTGTTTTCATCCAGATATCACATTACGCCTCTAGCTATACTACACACATTAGTTTAACTGCAAGTTGTTACGTTTATTAATTTCTATCTTTTTCCTTAGAGGCTCATACTCTTCAATACTGCTTCAATATTGGATCCCACTCAGTGGTGAGTAATGCCTGTTCAGGTATACTTATTCTTAAATCCACATTGTATGGCCAATAAGATAAATAATAGCCACCATTGAAATGGGCTGTTCCACAAAAATGCTAGTAAGTTCTTCCTCGCATTGTTTTGCATCATAAGTATATCCGTCCCAGACCATACACTCATGAACTATTATGAGTAAAGCAGAAAGGGATTGCTGCTCAGGAATAGTCTACTTTTAAAAATAGGGTTTCATAGTCACCCATTGCACTTTCTCACTTTATTCTGTGCTTTGCTTCTCTGGACTCTCCAACACATTATTTTCTCTCCTTCTTCCAGTGGAGTAGGAGAGTCCTTATCACTTACCAGCTCTTAGCTGCTGGGGTGGTGGACCATGGAGGTTTCCTCCTGAGTGTGCTCAATTGAGTATGGTGGTGGTGGCATGCTGGTGTAGATGGTGTGACCAGGGCAGGTAAGTCACGGCAGCAATTGCCACCATATTTTACAAATTGGCTGTGGTGCCCTCAGAAAATCACTGAAATTCACAGCCACGATGACCACTCTTTGGTATCCTTTTGGCTGTCATCCTTTCATGATCTAACTTTTTATTGTGTACCATAGTAAAGTGAAAACCATTGAGGATCATAAACACTAGACTTACAACCTACAGAAACAAACAATATATCACACAAAATGCATGTAGTGAAGGGAGTGAGTTTTTGCTTTGATCCACACTAAAACATTTGTGCAGTTTGTTTAGTCATACCATACCACAGGCTTTTAGTAATAAGAAGCAATTCAAATTGGCACTCAAACAACAAACCTGCAGAGCTTACACAAAGACCCACAGCAACAGCAGTATGAGATGATCAAAGTCAGCACATACATATGCTGGTCAGAGTGAAGTGTGCAACTGCAATTACTCCTTGTATTAAACATACTGAAAAAGGAACTAGTTAAGAGGGAGAATGTTGTGAAACTTTTTTACTGGAATGGCCAAGTGCCAGAAATTAGAACTTTTTTCCATCAATTGTATAGACTTTCAGGTCAAACATCATTTAGGGCCAGGAGGGAGCAAAAACTAGGAATCTTATTAACCCTTTCCACATAGGTCAAGGGTCAAAGGCCACATCATCGTGGTTGTTGACTCGCATTCAAAATTGTATTGAACTACTATTTTATGAATTTATGTCAATAAGTTTGATATCAAACTGAAGATTATAATTAAAATTTTAGTATTATACATTTATTTAATTTCTAAAAAAAGTAAATATTAAAAAACACCTAAATATCGATTATTGTGTGTCATGTGGTATGTTGACTGCAGCACTGGTTGAAATTAGATGTTTGTGATATCAAAATACAAAGTCTGTAGTTTTGTATGAATTAGGAACTCAAATTACTGATATTGACAAGCTAGAATATAAAATAAGAACCTCCTGTCTTTTCTATTTACTAAGATATTGCTCATGTCTGAATCAAACACAATCACCCCGCTAACCTCTTTTCATTTTTGGAAATGCTCCCATATTGGCTTTCTCAGCCA